GTGATGCTGTCCAGAAAACGTTGGGACATTCTGGCTAAAGCCTCTTGGCTCATGACTGCCTGCTGCAGCACAGCTCCTCTGCTCTCCCAAAGCTGCTCACATTTGTGTTCTCTACCAACTTTGCCTGGATATCCTTAGGAAATGTTGCATGCAAAATAAGCAAAGCATTCTGAAATATTTTAGCAATGTCACACTTACTCCACTAGTTACAAATCCGTCAAATATAAATGCATTTCCTTCTGAGAAAGCACACTTGGTCTGACCCACACCACCACTGTCCACATGTACCCAAGATGGAGCTAAGTTTAATAAGATTCTTTAAAATATACCTGATTTTAAAATTTTGCTCCAACTAGGGCATGTGGCCTTACTTTGATGAAAAACCTTTTCCCCCCTTCCTTCTCACTGAAAACAAAATTACTCATGTCAGCATGGAATACTTGCTCAAGTCAGAGTGATTTCACTGGGTTTCAGTATTGTTCTTAAGACAGGCAGAAGCTTGCACAGTCATACGAGAAATGAAGTGGCACATTTCTTTACATTTTTGTATGCAAAAAGGTTGCTGCACAGTCACTAGAGCCCTACAGGTTTGCACAGGCATCTGATTTTTTTTTAACAATACAGTACAGTACTTACTATTACTACAATTATTACCACAAATAATTTGTAGTTACAAGCCATGTGTTAGAAAAACGTCTGAGAAACTCCTGGCACATTTTCAAATATTAACAAAAACACAATAAAGGAAGAGTGTCTGTGTTACAATGCACACTTGAAAATCAAATATCTGACTGTTTGAAATTACTTCAGAAAAAGGAACACTATAATATTCTAAACCTTTACAGATATTTTGGCCAAGACTTTTCAGTTGGGGTGACCGGAGCTCAAGGCTTACGTTTTTTCTGGGCATGCAGGTTCACTAGCTGGACCTTTGCTTCCTGTTAGTACAAGGCAATGACACTCATCTCTGAAGATCACCCATAATCCACACCTCGCAAAAGGACTTTCTGTGCCTCGCATACAGCTGAGAGAAAGTTGGATGTAGCCTCTCTGCACTTCAGTGGCTCCCAGCTGCTTTCCTAACCCAGGTGGTCTGGTGGCAGTGCCAGGTGATACAGCCAGCAGTTTTCTGACTGCTTCATTCACAGCTGCACAAACAGCCTCTCTTCAGGCTGCTCCACAGCTGGATGGTCCTTTTACTCCTTCATGCTCATACTGACACTGTGGCTATATACCCTGCTAAGGGCAGGTAGCCTGATATGGTGAGTACTCATAACAGGAGTGGTGCTAAGTTGATTATATATATGTAAAGAGTTTAAAAAGCCACATCTCTTTTCCTCAAAGAGAAAGTCACACATTTGACTCAAAGTCTATTTCAGTATCAGCTATGATCATATGGAAAACCCAAACAGTATTATGCAGGTATCTACAAACAAAGGCACCCAGATCTGCAAATATTGGCTTCACTTCAGTCTATCCAAATAATCAGACTTTTCTAGGAAAAGCATCTCTGCGGACGATTTTTCATACTTATAT